AGCAAGGCTTTGGACATGTTTTTTATGAGAGTATAACATTATAACATGATATAAAACTCAAAAAAGTTGATTTTACATGATATTGCCCCTTTAAAGAATTTATACAAGGTTCCTCAGAGATAAATCCTTTTGTTTCCCGTGAACGGTTCTGCCAAAAATGCCAAGTTTGTTTTGATTCAAATGATATAAAACCTTTTCAGAATTGAGATTATTCCATTTTGGTTCAAGAGTTAGGACGTTAGGCTCAGTCGGCAGCTCACACGGAGGCTAACAGACGAAGATGAGGAAGAAGAAAAGGCGAGACTAAAGCGGGGCTTCCAGGGTCGCTCAGCGATTAGGGAATGGGAGGGATGAGCGGCGGCCTCTGAGGGACTAGTGTCTGTCTGTGTGAGTCCTTGTGGGGGAAGAAAAAAAAAAAAGAGAGACTGAGGGAAGAAGTCAAAAAAAAAAAAAGCTCAGGAACAAGAACCCACTGTCACAGTCTCTTAGCAACCGTCTCTGTCTCCCAGGTGACAGGGTCTGACATTACTTCCTGTTGCATGTGTACACACAAGTGGCCGCACGAACCGACGTGTGTCACTCCTGCCAGGTTCAACAAAGTTCACCGGACTCCTGTTGTTCTGCAGCTTCAGCGGCGTCATTGTGCAGGATTTAGATTGAGTCAAACACATCCCGAGGTCCTGATATAAAGCAGGCTGCAGCCTGCGCACATGCGCCAACGTATGAGGGGCCATACACGCCATAAACCATACTGCCACTCTCATACATACATTTTATCTCTCACATACATATATTTTATCTCTCACATACATCTCATTGCAGGATTTAAATCGTCCTGAGGTTCTGATATAAAGTAGGCTGTGAGCATCTTTATGAAGGCTGCAGTCTGCGCGCATGCGGACAGCCTGATTGTACYTTATGCCAACAGAAACACGGCCAACTAAAGCCATCTGGTAGAACTACTTGGCACAGAAAGGCCCTCTACGGTTCCTCGACATATTGGAGTAGTTAAAATTAACACTGTGACACTATTCGGCATAAAAAATAAAATAAAAAAAGACGCTGAATATCTGCTACTGTGTCTATTTCAGTATCTCTGCCTCACCTTTAGAGTCCGAGCTGCAGGAGCAGAGAGAGAGATTTCAGCTGAGCACACAGACACCGTCCATGCATCAACACAAACCCTCTCTGCTCAGTTCTCTGTACTCATTAACTTTATTTTAGGCCCAGAAACAAACTCCATAAATAATTAAGGGAAGAAAAAAAATATATATATAAAAAACTTCAAATTAATTAAAAGAAAAAGAGAAAATCTTAAATAAAAAAGGGGAAAATGCGATATTTTCATTTAAAAAAACTTGTGGATGAGTTTCATTTCAAGTGATTTAATCGACTGTTTCCAGCACAAAGTATAAATGTGCTCACAGTTTGTGACTATTTGCATAAAAAATACCACGAATGCTCATAACTTCAGTCCATACCTGCTGCTGTTTGGTTCAAATATATAAAGAAAAGAAAAAAAACAATAGAAAGTTTGTCTCCTAAAAACACTAAATGTTTGTGTTAAAGAAAACAAAAAAAACAGCAGATCTCTGAGTCCAAACAGGAAGTGTTTGTTAAAAGTTCCAGAGTCCTCCACGCTCCATCATATGAGGTCCAAGAGGATTTCATCATCTATGACCCCGGAGACCTGGGGCATCCCGGGCTGAGGGACCGGTCCTCTCTGACCTCCAGACATCAGGATCTGACCTGAGGATCCAGAGGGGGGAAGGAGTCAGCACTTTAACGAAAAGCCACTTCAAACATCATTTCAATGACAGATGACTCTTTATAGGAACCAGAGAGAATAGATTTAATGTTGAGGCTAAACCAGCTGCTGAAGAAGCTGAAACTGAGCTGGGGAAGCTAACCGTAGCAAAAAGCTAAAAGTAGCAAAAGAAGATAAAAATTTGAAAAACTAGTTTTAACTGAATAACTAAAAAACATAATTTAGGATGAAATTGAATAATTCCTCCAATAAAAGTTTGATCTTTATTATTTATTATATTGATATATGATATTTATTATTATCAATATTTATTATTTATTCTATTCCTCTTTATTTAATGCAGCTAAAGTCTCAGTAAGTTTTTATTAAGGACAAAATTATTTAAAAAAATATATCAATCAATCAACTTTATTTGTACCTGCAGGTAAATTTGTTTACAGTCAGTCAGCTTCATTCCAACARATCAAATATATTATTTTTAAGCAGTTATGCAACTGGTGGATTTTCCCCCTGAGGAACACTTATTATCATAAAGCAGGGTTATTCAACTGGCGGCTCAGGGGCCAGATGAACAAAGTCCAGCCCACCAACTGGTTCATAAATCTTGTCAAACTCCCAGTTTTCTACATTAATTTCTACAAGTTGTTTTAGTTAGAAATTTGTGGTATATACTAGGGGTGTAAGAAAATAATGATACACTGAAATATCGTGATATTTCATTTCCTGATACAGTATCGATATTCTAAAGCCCTGTATTGATTTTTATTAAGGTTTAAAATGTCAACTTTCCTGCCAACAGTTCATTTTTATGTTGTAGTTCAGCCTCTGACCACTAGTTGGCAGCAGGGAGCCAGACATTTGGCTCCTCTACCTCTTCAGCGCCAGAGAGTAAGGGTAGCATTAGCATTGTGAGTAAACATTAGTTTCATGCACTACTTTTATTACATTGTGTTTGTGTATGCTGTATTCATGATTAAATGCAGCAAAATAAACAAATTTAAAGGCTACAGAACTTCATAATAATTGTTTTATTTACATAACGACTTTAACAGCTGGATGTTCGGCCCCTGAGCTGCTGCTCTGCAGTTCTGAGGGTTAAAGAATGATATTCTGGGTCGAACGTGTTTGCTGACCTGTCATTGGCTGCCTCCACTGGCCCTGCATTTGAGGCCCGCCTCCTGGCGTCGAGTGGACCAGCTGCGGTCCTAAACCTTGGTGGGACATCATGTTTGGCATATGAGACACCGCACTCTGCTGATGAGACACAAAGGAGGCGGGGTTTAACCGGACAAACGTTTGTCATTATTCAAAGAGCCGTTCGCTGGAGTTACCGGCTGCTGCTGACTGAGCAGGAGGCTGCGAAGCTGCGGGTTGGCTCCTGGGTTCGGGAGGCGAAGTATGGAGCCCTGGGGCTGGGCCTGACCACTCTGAGTCACCTGGTTGGGCGGAGCTACGCTGACCGCCGGCTGCTGATTGGATGGTCCAGCCGCTCTCATTGCCATCTGAAAACGTGTCGCACAGTTTAGGAGATTTTAGAGCAGTTTAGCTAAAAAACTAAACACTGATGCAGTTTGGTGCAAACTACAGAAGAAATAATGATATGCTAACAAACTCTAACCACTTCATAACACTGAGAAATAAACTCATTTTATGTAAAGTGAACAGTTTTTACTGAACATGCAGGTTATTAATAAAAGATGTTTTGTATTAACAGCATGCTGCACAGGAAATGATAACATTATAACATGCAGTCAGTAAACAGTTCATGTTAAACATGGSAGTGTTTATAAAATATTATTTATATTTTGCTTCCAAGCAGCTGGACTCATAATCTTGTTTCATCAGAAGTTCTTTAAACTTTTTTGGACCTAAGCAACTTTTTTCCCCTAAGTTTTGTTCATTAAATCACCAAAATGTAACAAACTAACCAAACTGAAAAGGATGAACCAGGACACATAAGAACCAAACTGGAGTTGGATCTTTTGGTTCTGTGCTACCAGCAGCCCGCCACAGACGCACCATTTGTTCCCACTGATGCAGCGGAACATATAAGAAATATTAAATATAATTTATCTTACAGTCCCCTAATTACCATGCAATTACCTAGTATTTAAATATAAACTATTTACTCTTTAATTACTTAGTAATTACAGTAATTTGTAATTACTTGGTAAGGACATATAATACTATCCTAACTCTATACTTACCTGGTAATAAATTACAACTGTGTACCACAAGTAAATAATAGGTATTTTTTGCATTGTTAAAATTATAACCCATTAAGTATCTGTAATTCTATAGTAAAACACAGTATAAAATGTAGAAATTTAGTTGTATTCTTTTGGTTAATATTATGTAACTGATGTACTACCAAACAGTACTTACCTACTAAAAGTATTTTTACTAACATTACTAACGTAACACTATAATTTACTTTGTACTTCGTTGTTAATTACATAGTAATTAGGGATGTAAAAATATATTAACTGCGTGAAAATATAGTTAGTAATCTGTTGGTAAATGCTGTGTAATTCGTGTACTATTAAACCGTAATTTTATTATAATTATCACTAAATTATTTTATTACATAGTAATTACATTATAAAAACATGGTAATTAGGTGATTGTAAAAATGTAATCTGTTGACAAATAGTGGGAAATTTTATTTAACTGTAATTGTATTAAAACTATCCACAAAAAATGTTTCATTACATATTATTATTATTATTATTATTATTATTATTATTATTATTACCACCACCAAGTAATTGCATTGTAAATAATTGTAATTACCAAATAAATGCATAGTAAAATAGTGTTACTCGCATGCAGGTGCGGCTCGTCCATGAGGGCAGGTGTAAAACAATATTCATTCACCCCACAAAGTAGTTCCTCTTAATAAACAATGTAAAATGCTTATTTACGCAGCCGGCCGTGTGTTGTCGTTTTGTTCTGCGACAAATATATTTGTTTGAATATATTCTGGGTCTACGGTGACAAGCTGGGGAGAATAAAGATGACCTTTGTGCACAAATAACTGTTTAAATGTAACGTAGCCTATATTTTTCACAGAAAACGTGCCGCAAATTGTTAAAATTGTTTATTTTGATTTAGGAAAACGATGTCCGCCCCACTAATTTTTATGCTCACGAGCTGCTACTGCTTACATGTAAAAACTAGATAACTAGATAAGCTTTTTTAATTTTTATTTTACCTTTTATAATTTTGTGTGGGCTGAGTCAGGGACTACAGGTGGAAACTATGACCTGATACAGTGCATCCTTCCTTTCATGGCTAATGAATACTGTATACTGTCCCTGTTTTAAATAAAACTTTTTAAAAAAAGGAAAAAAAAGAAATTTAATTAGGGGACTGTAAAAGAAAGGGTTKCCATTTATTTATTTTTAGGAGCAACAAAAAGCTATTATCTGAAGACTTGTTGATCCACTACAGGGAGAATCACCTCTCAGATCACGTTCAAAGTTAAAAACTTGTTCTCACCATGTTGTTCTGCCTCTGCTGCTCCTCCATTATAGAGACCTGACTAACAGGGGGCATGCCCACCACCACAGACTGGATGCAGGACAGAGCAGGACCCAGGAGAACAGGGGTGGTAACAGTGGAGAAAAGAGCAGGAGTTCAGTAAGGCATGCAGTCCAGGTGCCATCAACAGGCAGAGTGAGGAGAAAACCAGGCAGGTGATGCGTACGCGCTCAGAGCGGCTTTATTTACCTGCTGCTGGACGCTACCGTGGGAAACAGGAATGGAACCAGGAGCTCGGTTCAGAAAGTTCTGGTTGGGGGGAACTTGACCGGGCTGCATTGGTCCACCTCCTCCGCCCATTTGCTGAACCAAAAAAACCAAAAACAAATAAATAAAAAAAACAGTCAAATTTTAAATACATATATAWTTAAATTTTATTTATTTAATTCATTCATAAAACCAAACCTATATACAGTACAGTAAANAACCTATATACAGTACAGTAAAAATAAAAAAAAACAAAGATAAAAATAAAAAATCAAACTCAAGCTTTAATAATCTCACTCTTTACAAAAAAACAGAACAAGAACATCAGATCTTCACATCCCACCTCCACTGGACGCCACAAACAGCACATTTCACTAAAAACTGCAACTTAATCATCTTTTTCAACAGAAATATTGGCTTAAAAGTTTTTACAATTTAGCAAAACCATTCTAGAACCCTATTCTGTGAGTTGCAGCACTTCAGATATGAAACAGTATCTCTCTGTATTTACATAACATTACATATTAATTAGTTTATTTTACAGCTGCTGGAATTAAAAGAAAAAAAAAGACAAATAGTTAAAAGTTGCACAAATGTCCCATATAAATAAAACTTCTAATTCCACTGTGTTKTGCGTGCCTTTTTTATTTTTATCTTATTTAAAACGGAACTGTTCTGCACATTTTTACTGAAAATACATTTTATTCTTACAACTTTAATCTTTTTTGAATGTTTTCATGATAACACAGATACACCCGACAAACAATTTCAGAGCATAAAACGTTCATTTTGCTCTTACTGATGGATCAGCTGCAAATGACCTTTTTACAAATATTTACACAACTTATTTTAGTAATTTTATTTTATTTTATTAACTTTTATTCAAGCAGGTAAATCCCACTAAGATCACTGATGTCTTTAGCGAGTTGTGTGTGTTTTTGGTGTGTGGGGGAACCGGAGTACCCGGGGAAAACCCACAAGGAGAACATGCAAACTCCAAAAACAGTAAGACCCCAGCTCCAAACCAAGGATTGAACCCAGAACCTTCCTGCTGTGAGGCGTCAGTGCTAACCACTGATCCACCGTGATCCAGTCCTACACATCAGACAGACATACGAGCAAAAAGTAGCCACATTTCAAGCTGGAAAATTAAGAAACCATCATTCCAACCTCTCTAAATCCTTACCGTGGGCTATTTTGATACACTCCTCCTGCAGGCGTAAAGTATATTTACAGAACACATATTTGCTGTATGTAATTGGTGTTTACTGGGCTAACAATGCTGGAAGTGTGATCCTGCGTTTTTCACCTACTTTGGTGGAGAGCAGATGGAAAGTGAAAACAAAACAAGGAGGATAATGTAGATTTAACTCCAAGCACCACCTGCCGAGGTGTTTACCAATTCAGATTTCACCGTTTAAAGCAAACTCCGTGACTAAAAGGTGTCTGCCTAATCTGGACAGGGAGGCGTTACAGAAAATCCCTGTTTACACTGAAACAGAACAGTAACAGGAAGAGAGAGGTCCGTTTTGGTTTCACCTGTTGTGGACACTTTATTCTGACTCATTTCTGTAGTTTTTAAAGAATGTGAGCACTGCAGTTGCTCCTGCGTTTGTTTCAGCACTGAGAAACGGGAGAAATGAAGGGCGTTTCACCCACCGCCCCCCACCTGAGCAGAAATGATTAACTTCAGGCTCAGGAACGTGTGATGGAAAAACACCTTCACCCATCCATCTTACTGAATGTGAACAATTCACCGTAGGATTGTGCTCCAACACGGTTCGCTCTCCGACCAACAACTGAGCTGAAACTCAGCTTTGGCTCTTTTTAGGGAAACCAATAAAACATTTCTGTGTGTTTCTTTCATTTCCTGCAGTCAGTCAGGTGACCTGTAGGATCCTCCATGAGGAGCCTACATTACCGCCCCACACCACACAGAAAGGACCGTTATGGTTTGTTTGGCTGTGTTTATCTGTACGTTAAAACTGATTTAATATTGAGTTTAAGGGCCAGCATTGTGTGTTTCTCAGGCATATAGTTCAATTATATACCACAATAAAGTAACTGCCAGGTATTTAAAGGGTGTTTTTTTAATAAAGGACTTTTTGTCCTCTATATCAGTGGTTCCCAACCTTTTTAGACTTATGTACCCCCTGAGCCATTTTGTCATAACACTAATACCGCTTCAGTCAAACATAATGATGATTCTACAAAACTATAATATAAAACAGCTAATTATTAAATGAAAATTATTTATTTCCAAGTTTTATGCTGGATTCCATTTTGAGTCAATTCTGTGATTCTGACCGCAATTTCCACATTGCAGAAATCACAGGGCCCTACATACCTCAGTCCTAATTTTATTTATGTACTTTTTACACACCTGGGAAATTTTTCCACGTACCCCATCATTGTTCCCTGGTTGGGAATCACCGCTTTAGATAGTGTGCAGGGCTGAAGGAACTGTCCAAGGTCCTGAAAGTGCTGGGATGTTTCAGGAACTTGGACAGTGTGAAGGACTGAAGGAACTGTCCAAGGTCCTGAAAGTGCTGGGATGTTTCAGGAKCTTGGACAGTGTGAAGGACTGAAGGAACTGTCCATGGTCCTGAAAGTCCTGGAACGTTTCAGGACCTTGGACAGTGTGAAGGACTGAAGGAACTGTCCAATGTCCTGAAAGTGCTGGAATGTTTCAGGACTGTATCATAATATAAAATAATTTCCTCATTGAAAACATACAAAGAGTGTTGCTTTAACTCATTCATGCATGTTTCAGTAATTATTGAATCTCCTGTGGCCATGTAGAGCAGCTTAAATGCTTGTTAGTACAAAGCTCCGCCCTATTTGTACAAAGCTAAAAACAGTCAGATTTTAAAGTTCAGTTTCCAACTGAGCTCCCACTACCACAAAGCACCCCTCCCCTGAAGCGCTGTTGTGAAGATGTGCTGAAGTGGGAGTGTCAGAAACAGTAGGAGGTTCTTAATGAGACGTAGGCTAATTTGAAAGCATTTGGATAAATTTAGACAAATTTATTCTTGCTATGTCATATTCTATACCACTTCCTGTGGTCTAGAATTGAACGATCTGCATGGAAAATACACAACCCGCCCCCTTCCCTTAAATAATTCTGGCTTGCAGTGAAAGACACAAACGGGAAATCTGGCTCCTTATGAATGCCACTCCAGGGCTCTGCACAGAGAAACCTTAACTGCTGGTCCAAATTTAAATTTTAATTACGTTAAGATTGCTGTATAACTTCCTTATTAGCAATGCYGCTCTGAATATGTGATGATACACAGGAGGCAGGGGAAAAAAGTCTTCATTAAAATTTCATGTCTTCTGCCTTCTCTAAATGCCCCGGCGCTCACACGACTTACGAGCCACATATCGGGCCGACCCCCTCTCTTCCTCCCTCCCTCGCAAAGACGTAAAATTAGCAGGGTGAGTAGACAAGCGCTATCAACACTGATGCGAGCGGAGCACAAGGAGAAATGTAATCTGACTCATGTAAAGTCGACATGAAGCTTTATTTTTAAAGAGTAACACGCTGCTCGTCTGGCAAGTCGTTGCATTGTTTAACAGCCGTGCAGCACCTCTCCTGGAGCCGCGAGATGGACGAGACATGTTTTAAATCAGCCCATCTGGGGGCAGGACGATGAGCAGAAGAGGAAAGTGAAATTTTTATGGCATATGCACAAGGAGAGAGCGTTTGCAGGCTGTAATGAACTCAGTGACAGGAACAGGTCTACCTGAACTGCTGAGGTCTAAATGAGGAGTTATCAGGTTTTCTTCTCGAGCTCGGAAGATTTACGCAAAGAAACGTTTACTATAAACACCCAAACAGCCTGAAACATTCATTAGGTATGAGGCAAAACTAAATAAACAATCCTTTTTTACAAGTGCAATGAATAGAGCTTGAAAAAAACGAAGAGAATTGGCACCAAGACTGTCTAGATTGGTGATGAAATAAAGGGAGTTGTTGAAAAAAGTCAACATTGAAAACCAAGAAATGTTTCGATTATTCTGCAACAAACAACAAATAAACAAAACTTCTTTGTTTCTTGAGATTATTGGATGAAATTTATTACTTAATTTCTTAATTAATTAATAACTATAACTGTGTGATCTAAAACCATCATGCATTGAAAATGGGTACTGATTGAGGATCAAGACAAAACTATTTTTCTATTTTGTTACCTACATCCCTTCATCCCGTTTGGGGTCTTAACTAAACATGTTTACCCGATCATCCATCCATTATCTACACCCGTTTATTCCTTTCAGGGTCATGGGGGTCACTGGTGCCCATATCCAGCAGTCACAGTGCGAGGGGCGGTGTTTGCCCAATCAGATTGTTATAAAATCAGCCTGTGTTTAGAAAAAGTATRATATATCTACCTGTGATTGAGAGCTATAACCTAGTTGAACTAGAGCAACATTTCCATCAACCTAGAGTCACGCTGTTTAAATCTGTAGCTCCATGTATTTACAGCTCCAAACAGAAGTCCAGTTGCTTTGTCTTTTTACTTTTAATTTTCCATGTAGATAGTAATGTTCAGCCTCAATCATGGAGCGTATCGATCCTAAAGTTACTCAGTCGATACTTTATTTCCAGCTCGTTGTTTTGTTCCAAAAATAAAAAGCTTCACTGGAGCATCCGGTCAGAGGCAGGTTCAGATGTAAACACTGAACTAAACAAGTCAGATAATTATTTAATTGGCTCTGATTAAACAACTTCAGATTTGACGTGCTAAAAGTAGCATCCATGCTAACTCTGTAAACAAACAAACCAGCTGAATGAGAAGTTACCTCTTTTACTGCACATGCATGTCACATCAGTGCTGTGTGGCGTTCACACTGGAGTCTGATGCAGGTCGCATTTAAAATCTAATGTGAACGTTCACGCCAAAAGATCAGATTTTTTCAAAAAATCAGAACTGAGCATTAAGACCTGCAGTGTGAACGTAGCCTAAGAGGCGGGGTTTGTCACGTACCTTTATTTATTCCAGCTGATACTCAAAGACAGGAGGCGATGTCAGCAAAATTATTTCACAAACCAGTGGACGAATTTCAACTCAACTCTCAACAAGTAATCGTTGGACGTGCATCCGTTCGGAGTCACCAACCCAACTTCAAAATATCTGAACTGCTGCTTTAGTTGGCTCATGAACAAACTGAGCTCATTTAGCACCATTAGTCTTCACTAAAGCAGCTGCGGTGCAGATGACTGGCCTGAATATAAAAAAAAAATTCTGTAACAATTTAATTTAACGCTTGAAACAAAGTACCTCAATTCTCCTGCGCACCTCTACAATTCCTCCTCATTATCTCCCGCTTTGCATCTCGTCCCTCACAAATTAAATCGACCTTCCCTCCCGACAGCCCCTCTGGCTCCTCCTCCTCCTCCTCCTCCTCCCCCCCTTCCCCCCTGTCCCCACTCACCGCTCGGTGCTGCTGGACCTGCTTGTGGTTGGTGATCACTTGCCGGATGCCGTTGACGAAGCCGCTCTGGTCGTTGGGGATGAGGCCCATGAATATTTTCTTCTTGGAAGAGTAGAGCAGCATGAGCACCCGCACTTCACACGGTGAAGTCGTGTGGGGGAAGTGGACGCAGCCTGCCTGCAGAGGTGAGGGGAGGGGAGGGGGGGTCACAGGGCAGATTAAGACCTCGARGTGGGACTTGGGGACATAACCTACTTCTGCCCAATCAAACATGRCCGCTTTAAAAATTGAATGCAAATGTTATTAACTTAATTCATACTGTGACTTCGCTGGGATATAAAATCAAATCCAGCAGAGAGGCAGAGCTCAGCTGGACTCAGATCTATMAATGCTTTATCTGATTAACATTGCATCACACTGAACAAGCATATAAAATCATGGCTGCCTTCTGAGGGAAAACATTTTAAATCAAACCATATTTAAAATGAAATCTGGCTTTAAAGTCAAAACCCCCCTCCTGATGACCTCACATTTYGAGTTTATGTCCAGGCCCCCTAGTGGACAGAGGTGATACCTGCACTCAGACGCTACATTATGTAGAAATAAACTCACAAAACCATTGGCCATGATGCGGTAAAGACCTCTGAGGGAATCGGGGTCTTTGTTGGTGAAGAGAAACTGAACCATCCTGGAGTTTCTGAAGAGGTGCCCTAAAGTCGTCTGCAGGAAAAAATAAACACTTTAATGCTGCGAACAAAGACTCGGTGACGAGCGGAGCGGCCTCCTCACCAGTAACTGTTGTGGAATCAGCTGCATGATGAGCTTCTGTGGCCACTGCTCCGTGTTGCTGTGAGGAAACAAAACCAACACATCACGATCTGTGAGCAACAAACCAACCGATCAAAGGCGATGAAAGACTTTTTATTATGCAGACAATTGTTTAAAGTTTAGGGCAAGTAAAATTTAAGGCTTTTTAAGTCCTCTTTAATGCCACTTGAAATTAAATTTAAGACCAATATAACAACACAAACAGTTAAACACAAACAGTTAGCAACAATTTTAGCCAAATGTTTATTTTAACACAAAACAACGAGCTGCGAGGGGGCTTCTGTAAAAGATTAAAAAAGATAAATAAAT